TATTTCACACGAATCACACGAATCACGCTAAGCATATGGTTCAATATTTCACACGAATCACACAAATCACGCTAAGTACAGCATCGCTCTAAACTTCACACGAATAACACGAATTAGGGAATGGACCAACATTTCACAATAGTATGCAGAAGTTAACGCTGACATTAATGATTGACACTAAGTCCTCAACATGTTATTTGTGTCTATAATAAACAGACATTAACGATTGCCACAGAGTTCTCAACTTGTCATTTGTATCTGTAATAAGCAGACAGTAACGATTGACACTGAGTGCTCAACTTGTCATTTGTGTCTGCAATAAGCAGACATTAACGGTTGACACCGAGTCCTCAACTTCTCATTTGCATCTATAATAAGGAGAACCTGTAGCTAATTTATGTCTATTGATTTCCAGTATTTATTTGAAGGTTGCTTTATCACAAATCGGTTTTGATACTTTGTTTAAGACACATTTAATGAAATGTCACAATTGTTGCATGCTCATATGATGTTCCATTGTTGGAACCTATAATTTAAAACCATTCTTCTACTGACGCTTTCGGCGATCAAAATTTATGCATTTAAATATAACACGTTAGTTATTATTTTACAATGTTTCTCAAAATGTAGGTACAGAACCAGTCAGGCGTTCGACATTGAAACTTGTGCGAGCGAAAGTCAACGACAGACAAAAATGAAGCCGCATAATTGTAACTCAGTACTTTCAGTTTGAATTTTATGGGCATTTTGCAATAAGTCATTTCTGTATGTAAACCTTGAGAGAAGCACTCATCGTTACGCAAACCTTCAAGGAAGGAGTCATCGTTATGCAAACCTAAAAGAAGCACTCGTCGTTACGCAAACCTTGAAGGAAGCAATTGTCGCTATGCAAGCTTTGAAGGAAGCAATCGTCGCTATGCAAACCTTAAAGGAAACAATCGTCGCTATGCAAACTTTGAAGGAAGCAATCGTCGCTATGCAAACCTTGACGGAAGCGTTCATCAAGCAAACCGTGAAGTAAACATTCATCGCTATCCAAACCTTGAAAGAAGCATTCATCGCTACGTAAACCTTGAACGAAGCATTCATCATTTAACGATACAACTCAACCACCTAAAGTAAGGAACTTTTTTCACTACGTCACCTTAGGCCAGTCAAATCATGATTTTTACGCCAAATTTCGCATGTAACTCTACACCATATTTACCACCCTAACAATAATAAATAGTGCCTGCCCAGAATGGAAGTCTCTTATTGTTGATTCAGTTGAATACTTTACCAGTCTCCAATCGTAAATACTGCACGTGGAGTCACACGATCAATTTAAACAATTAAATTTAATAAGGATTGCTACACGACGGGGACATTTGTACGACTCTGACCTGAATTCACCAAACATAAATAATGTCATTATGGAAACTCACTAACACTTCACTGCGTGTTCTTTCCCCTAGGAATTGGTTAATTATTTCGGTCTAAGGAATATCTCCCCAGCACCGACTTCCCATAATCAATCAATTAATCACAAAAATCTAAGAAACCCTTCACACGAAGAGCTATAAACGAATATGCATATATTCCAAATTTATTAAAATATGTATAACATAAAACATACCCCACAAAATCAACTGTTTTCAAATCATGCCTATATTTTGATAATGGCCCGGTATGTGAACTTTATACAGGCACAGGTTGTGTAGTATAACTATTTTGGTATGTGAATCTTGTGCAGAGACTGGTTTTGATAATGCCCCGGTATGTGAATCCCACGGTATGTGAATCACAGAAAGGCACAAGTTCCATAGTATAACTATTTTGGTTTGTGAATCTTTTGCAGAGACTTGTTTTGCTGTTTAAAAGTGATTAATTAGATCTCAGTTACATGCTAGGTGTAAGTGTCCAGTCAACTGGGTATAGAAAGATAAATATGTATGAGCAATATTTCACTACTTTTTTCATCATTCTACACTTGTAGCTGTGTCTCAAACTAATCTTGATGTGATTGTTGTTACATCTCACACAATTGATTACTATACGACGTTGCTGTGTCTCATACTAGCTCATAAAGCAATGTTGTGCTTTTTGTTCTGTCTCATAATTGTGATGTCGTGAATGCTGTTGTGACATACAAGAGATTGAGTTGTTTAGTATGCTAGTGTTGTTGTTGTTTCTTTGTCTCATACTAATGATGTTTTGCGTCTTGATATATCTCATACTAGCGATGTGGTGCTGTTGCTATGTCTCATACAAGCGATGTTGTCGCTCATACTCGCGATGACGTGTTTTTTGCCATGTCTGATACAAGTGATGTTGTTCTTGTTTCTGTGTCCAAGACTGGAAATGGCATGCCTGTTCCTGTGTCCCATACTAGCGATAACAGTGTTACTCTTGTTTCTGTATTTCATACGTGCGATGACGTGCTTGTTTTGTTCTCTCTCTCTCTCCCTCTCTCTCTCTCTCTCTCTCTCTCTCTCTCTCTCTCTCTCTCTCTCTCTCTCTCTCTCTCTCTCTCTCTCTCTCTCTCTCTCTCTCTCTCTCTCTCTCTCTTAAAATCAGGTACAATGT